CTCTCTCTCTTTCTCTTTCTGTGTACCATTCACTCAGTGTCTCTCAATTTCAGCATACTAGCCTTTGGGAAGGTACAGGCCGTTTTTGGCATGGTTGTGACCTCTTTCCTCCCCCCCCCCCGAATTATAAACTACACATACCCAAATACATATGTAGTAATTTTTAAAAAAAGGAGAAATAACATACCAAAAATATTTCATTCCTCCACACCCCTGATCGTAAGGGAGGAAAGATCGAGTACTTAATCATCTCCCTCAAGGGCGAAAAAAATCTTGGAGTCCCAAGACAGGCCAAGGAGTGGTTAACCAAGGGCAGCTTGAAGTTTGGATTTATTTATTGTCAACACCTATGTTCGCAACCCATTCTGAGTAAGTGCTATGACTTCCAGGCACTTTGGACTGCCCAATTATTAGACATATAAGGGATCATGGATTATGGACTTGTCGTCCTTTACCTGGAGCCATTGAAACTCCATGACACCAAAGTTGGGCGTGAGTAAACTTTTGTTTATGGAGTCAAAGAACAGTGTTCTGTTTTGCAATGAATCCAGGTTTTCAATTTTTTCGCATTGATGGACGAGATAGAGTGTTTATCTCATATCAGTAAGGACAGAGATTTCACCATTCCAACATCCATCAAGTGGACCGATTAGGTGGCAGAAGTATAATGGCATGGGGTGGAACTGCTTCTCATCGTCGCACACATTTGGTCACCATTCAAGACAACCTCACGTCTCACGTCCTGCCCTACACAAGGCATGGCATGGTGGAATTTTCCAACAGGGCAATGCCTGACCATTCTGCCGTAATCTGTCAAACTTTCTCCCAAACTCACCTAATCAATGTTCTGGACTGGCCTTTAGGATAAACACACTTTAGCTCAATAAAACTTTTGTGGGGTGACCTTGACCTGAGGATTAGAAATGGGCCACACCGAGTGCAAACTCATCTGGAATTATAGGCAGCACGTATTGATGTATGGCAGAAGATTAGTCAGATAACCATATGAGGATATTAGTTCAGTTAATGCACACAGGCATTAGGCATTGTGTAGCGGTAAATCGAGCAGAAGGGGATCAAACGCAAAGGTCAACTGAATAAAGCAGGCTTCTTTGTTAAAAAAAAGAAAACTCAAGAGACATTGGCCAATTCTTGTTATGTTGTGTCAATAGAAAATGAATAATGTGTGTCAAATTTAATTTTGCCTTGTTGAATAGCAAATGAGTTATCATACTTGTGAAATGGGTTTGACAGAAATTTTGCAACTCTATATTATACATGCAAATTTAATCTCCCTCACACACATACATGCACTAAGTTCTCTATTTGCTCATACAAACTGGCACACACATGCACACACACATACCTACATACTCACATGCATGCATGATCATACATACAGAAGTGTATTCTTACACACATGCACAACCAGTGCACAGGTACACACACACACACACACACA